AAGCACTTTATTTAAGTGTTTGTAAACAAGCCCTTATCTTCTCTAGCCGTTCAGTGGTCCTCAAGTTTACGGTCTTATTTCAATTTTGCCGATGATGCACCTACGTCGTTTTGACTTGGGGTTTTTCGGGAGAACTACCAAATAAGCTCTCGAACTTACATAAAATATGCAAATCACCGCATATGTAGGAGGCTTTGTCCGGCCGTTGCCATTTGGGGCGGTTCCCAGTAGAATTTTTTGATGAAATTTTTTTAGCATCTTATTCATTAAGTCTAGTTTAATCATATCAAATTTCAGCGAAAAAATCAACCGGGAAGGCAGTCAAATGATTTTCTGAAATATACTGCGATGTTTAACGGCGCAATTATCTTCAAAAATTCATTTGACTGCCTTCCCGATTGAGTTTTTAGCTGAAATTTAGTATGAGTAAACTAGTTATTAATAAACTAGCTCAAAACAATTTATCAAAATATTCCACCGGCAACCGCCCCTAATGGCGACAGCCAGACAGAGCCTCCTATATAAAGGGTGATTTGCACTTTTTATGTAGTTGAGAGTTTATTTGGTACTTCTCCCCTTTTTTAAGGAAAACTAGTTAACTATTATTAATAAAATTAAGGCGAAATCGACATCAATAATACGTACTTTTTACATTTTACAAAAATAATCCCTACTCATAAAATTCACAAGAATAATCCCTACTAGCTAACTGTTTCACAAAAATAATCTGAGTGCTAACAGTGTTAACTTTTCCATTATTTTTTAAAAGTTTTGTATATATCAAACCAAAAATATGTATAAAAATTAATAATATCATATTTGAGTTAAATCTTTTTTATGATAAACGAATATATCTGAGTTTAATTCAATATTATACACCATTGTATTAATATTTAATGTATTATTACTAAAACTACTTTGAAATCTCTATTATAATGAATAACAAAAATGGATCTAAATAAAATATGGATAGAGAATGATAGAGAATAGAGAATTTGAAGAGAATTATGTTTTATGAAAAATATTTCTATTATGTTTTTATGAAAAATATTGAATATTAAATTAATTTTTTAATTAAAACAAAATTAAACTCAATATAGTAGTGTCAATGTGTATTTATATTTTCGATTCAATATATTAAAATAAAAAAATAATGGAAAAGTTAACACCGTTAGCACTCGGTTTATTTTTGTAAGACAATTAAATAGTAGGGATTATTGTTGTGAACATTTCAAGTATGAGTTATTTTTGTAAAATGTGTAATACAAGAAGCCCAAAATCATAAATCCACACACAACGATCATACATAGAAACAGCAGCCCTAATTAGATCGTGAGCTACCCGATTCGCAGAACGCTTCACATGAGAAAAAGTAATACTAGTAAAACTAGATGCAATTTCTCTAATATCATCAATGACCAAACCCAAAGTCATATAGTATGGGTGTGAGAACAAATATAATCTTGTTCTACTTTTTGGAATAAATATATGTTTGTAGTTTATGTGGAGGTCCATATATACCCTTGAACTTTTAAAAAGTGCAAAAATATCCCTCTTGTTCCTAAAAATACCCCTCATATATACCCCGGAACAGGAGGTGTATTTTTGCACCTTTTAAATGTTTAGGAGTATATATGCACTTCCACATAAACTTAAGGGGTATATTTGTTCTAAAAATAAAACAAATATATATTTGTTCTCACACCTATACTAGAAGATCATATTTGCTATACTTTCTTTTTTTTATCAGCTTTTTCTTTAAGAATATTAAATTACACTTAAGGTTGGTTTGCAACAACTTTAAAAAAAGCACTTCTCAGCTTTTGGCTTAAAAAAGCACTTATTTACCAAACACTACCAATTTTTTACTTTTCTCGACTTTCGTGTCAAAAGTGCTTTTCCCCTTTTTATACACCAAAAGCACTTATTTTACCAAACACAACCAACTTTTACTTTTCAAAATCACTTTTTTCTCAAACACTATCAACTTTTACAACTAATCACTTTTTCATTTCATCTCCAAAAGTGCTTTTTTTAAGCAGAAGCTGTTGCAAACACTCCCTTACAGATTTTCTTTTTACCTTCTCTTTCATACTTTTCCAACATTTCTTCTATTTTTTCTACACTATTCATTACCTCTACTATTTCAGTCTTAAATAATGTGCCTAAACTTATTGTAGTGAACACTAAAACACGAGTATATGTAACCATTGTATTTGCTGACATTGAAGCCTATGTTGGGAAGTGTTACGTTTATCCAGTGTATTGCACCAGACCGCTTACTATGGATCGTTTTGGACAGGAAACTCCCTCAAACACTAATTTATTAGTCGTAGAAATGTGTTTAATTGAACTGAAATTTTCTGATCTAGTAATTTAGTCTCAGGAAACATCCTAAGAATGTGTACATTTCTAACATTCGATATATACATACTTCGCATACTTCAACCTGATACCAAATCAATCTTAAATACACTAGATCAAACAAGATAAGATCATATTTAGACTAGAAAAATACAAATTAAACAAGATATTAATTACGACATATTTAATTATTTATGACTAAAATAAAGATTATTTACAAAAATGTGACTAATGACTAAAATAGTAATGGAATTACAGTAATTTATGCTTAATTTTAAAATTAAGTTACCATAACACTACATTGTAGTAACCATTAATCATATTTGTGTAAATAAGTTTTATTTTAGTAATAATTTTTTTTTGTAAAAAATCATAAAACAAAGTAACAAACATTTATGATAGACTACCAAACCACTTCAAATCAAACAATAATTAAGTACACGAGATAAAGCCAGAAAACTTCAATCTAATAAAAACATCTTAAATTAAAAACTACTACAAAAATATGATATGTGGAAGTTGCAAAAATTGTAGAAAATACTACTCATACCTCTCCTTTTACATGGGATATTATTTCCTTCATGAATTATACATTTAATTTATTGTAAAAGTTAACCGTTTCAAGAATTTCAACCATATATAATTTCAGCAACCTCAAACATTTCATTCATATTCAACTTTACCCAGAGACTGTGCTACCCTATATGAGTAAGGGGGCTTCCCCACTCCCCTCCCCCCGTTTTCGTATTTTTACAGTATCCCGGTGTACTAGTATTATACCCGAGTACCCGACATCAGGGCCGGACCTAAGAAAACACATGTATGTAAAAAAATAAAAATAGGTCTTTTCTAAAATATGTAGAAATATAATATCAGGGAATATTATACTTGTAAAAATATGCGCAATAATTCACTATCAAAATACAAGTTTTTTTAAAATCAAAATACAAGTTATTCACTAACTATGTTGTTAAAACCGAATAAGGAGGCGACTCGGACAAGCAACCGGATCAAGGGTGACAATCAAATGCATAAATAAAATAGTCAATGGTATGCAACCCGGATCAAGAAGTTTTATCATGACATTACATCACTAATTTTTTTAAATGAAGTTCCACAAAACCATAACCGGTTTCAGAAATTAAGTCTCAAATAGTGAAGGTTATCCTAGATCACAAGAAAATAAGTACTAGTATTGCTTACAGTGTCTCGAGTATGATGGATCTCCTCGAACAGATTTCCACCATGCAGACAAATGGATAAAGGGAAAGAACCCGGTAATATTTCTTTTTTTTTTGAACAGCTTAAAAAAAAAAGCATTTCTCGCTTTAAAAAGCACTTATTTACCAAACACTACCAATTTTTACTTTTTCTCGGTTTGCGTGTGAAAAGTGATTTTCCCTTTTTTATTACACAAAAAGCACTTATTTTACCAAACACTACCAACTTTTACTTTTCAATATCACTTTTTTCTCAAACACTATCAACTTTTACTACTAATCACTTTTTCCTTACATCTCCAAAATTGCTTTTTTTTAAGTAGAAGCAGTTGCAAACACTCCGTAAGACTCCAATACTGATTCTTATTATGTAAAGAAAAACACAAGGACGAGCATGAATTAACAATGAGCATTGGTAAAGCAAAGAATATGTACGGACACAATATTATTTCACATGAAAATTCAAAAAGTAAAAATCGTATATGCCTTTATGGGCTAAGTCAAGTTGAAGACTTGAAGGGAAGCAGGGGCGGATCCAGGAATCTGAGATGCCCTGGCCTGAATTGGAATTATACTAAGCTTTAATATTAGCGGGTGGGCTAAATTTAAAACAGAAAAATTTTACACTAAAAAAATTGTAAAATTTCTAAGTTGTCCTGGGCTTCAGCCTACCATAGCCCGTACATAGATCCTCCCCTGAGGGGAGGATTCTTTATTGATGTTTTTGGGTAGGCCTGGACTCGGGCCGGGCGGCCCGACCCGGAACCGGCCCGGCCCGGCCACTGTAGCAACCGGCCCGGCCCACCGGCGGTTCGGGTCGAACCGGCCCGGTGGTTCCCGGTTCCGGGCCTTCCAAATGGTGAACCGGCCCGGCCGGTTCGGGCCCGGTCCGGGCCGGATTTAAATTTATTTTTTTTTTTTGAAATTTTTTTAAAGTTTTGGGTTGGAATAGGTATTTTGGGCCATTTTAGCTGGTTTGGGGTGATTTGGGGTTGAGGGGGAGGGGTAGGGGATTAAATAGGAGAACAAAAAAAAAAAAATTAAGTGGGCCGGTTCGGCCCGGCCCGGCCCGGCCCGGTTTGGCCCGGAACCGGGACCGGAACCGGCCACCGGCGGTTCGGGCCCGGGCCTCCCATTTCCTGGCCCGAGGCCCGGCCGGGCCCAGGCCCGAACCGGGCCCGAAGCGGCCCGAGTCCAGGCCTATTTTTGGGTTATATATGTGAAATGGAAGGTTTAGCTAAAAAAAAAGGCCATGAGTAGTCTAGAGAGGCTTGGGTTGAGAATCCTTGACTTTGAGTATGGAATGTTTGGGATTTGAGTATAATATAGTGAAATGTTGTGAATCACATATTTCTTTCCAAAATGGGAAAAGTGACACTTATTTTGGGACAACCCAAAAAGAAAAGTAAGACAGGTAAAATGGAACGGAGGGAGTAATATTTTGTCTACTTCAAAAGAAATACAAAATACCCTAATTATTTGAAAACCAAACCAAACTAGGTAAAAGCTGAATCTCAGATTACATTCATCTAGATATCTTAAAACTTAAACGAAAAAAAAGGTAAAATGATATTACCAATTTAACATTACAATGATAATCTACATCATCAACCCCAACACCCCCTAAGGTTAACATGTGGAGCAGATCCCCAGAATAAAACCCGGAGTTCCTTATTTATACAATGCGGGTTTAACAATGGAAAGGTCAAAGATGATTTTTGCCACGTTTTCATCGAAGTCACTTCACATACTATATATACAACAATGTGTCTCAGATGTTATATTCTTTTGACAGTCGTTCTTCCTTCTACTGAACTGGTGAATCAATGGATAAAACTGGTTGGTGGTATCGTGGAAATTGACACATCAATTGACCCAAATTCAAATCTACACAATTTTTTGTGCAATCAAATGAATCTCTAGACTTGCCCATGCCCATGTTCATGACCAAAGTATGAACTGGATCCACTACTGAAATGAGATTCAATCCAAAATCTTCTCTCCAGTTGAAAAGAGATTCCATACCACAGTTCCAACCAAGTAAAGCCCCACTGAAACCTTAAAAACATCATCCCAAGAACCTGCGACGTTAAGACAAAAAGTCATGATTAAATATCAAGAATTGCATCTACAGCTTAACGAGGAACAATCAAGTAAAGCCATCAATCAGTTTGGTTTCACATAATGTTTCTTAAAAGTGACACTGCATGTGCTAATAACCCCCTGCCATTCATTTTGGTATATAATTAGTGGCAGTCTGGTGCAAATTCGTTTTTTTAAGGCGGGGTGGGTTGAATATATTATCCATTTTCTGTCAAGTGCAAAACCATACATGAGCTTTTGCATATGATCTCTACAACACTCCCACCCTACCTAACTAAGCCTCACCAATCACCATTACCTACCTACCTATCTATGCCCCACAATCACCTCCACCTACAAAAACTTTTAAATTTCATTTTCAAAATTGAATTGGAGCACAATTGAATCCCAACATGTTGTAGTTTTCCCAAGGAAAAAGAATACAAGGAATGAGGAAACAGAAAATATCACGTGTAACTAATGGAAACCAAACCAGTCCATTTGGGATGGCTTATTAAAGGAAACTTTTAAAGAAGAACCAATGTGATGCTTCTTGTTGAGAAAAGTGCTTTAAACCCGATAAAGAAAAGGGCAGCCCAGTGCATGAAGGCATCCCCACAAGGAAAGGGTCGGGGGAACGGTCCTGCTACAAGGATGTATAAGCGATCAGCGTTCCCCTGTCAATTTTTTTTGACAACAGGCTACTCCCAGGACTTGAACCTGTGACCTCTTGGTCACACAACAACACCTTAACCGGTGCACCAATACTCCCCTTCGCTTTAAAGTTTAAACACGATCATTTTTTCATTTTCATTTACCCCAGTGCCGCACAGGCTCCCACCTACGGTGGGGTAAGGGGGGTCGGATGTACGCAGTCTTACCCCTGTACTAAAGCACAGAGAGACTGTTTCCGGATGACCCATAGTGAAAATCGCGTCCAAAATTGCATGGGCTGACTGCTGCTTCATAACAAAGAAGCGCAGACAGTTTAGTGAGCCATTTTGCTTTATTCCATCATATTCTCAAGCCAAAAAATAATGAATTTTTGGCTCCATTGCAGATGATGGAAAAAAGTTTAAACACGATAAAAGTCAAAATTTAATTAATTACAGTTCAGCAATCCTGTTATTAGTTTTTTTTGAGGGGTGTTATTAGTTTCACAAGTAATAATAAACTGGCACTAAACAGTAGAGGGTGGAACCATGTTGCAGGATGTATCCAGTAGCTGCAGTTCCAAAAACACCAGCTAGCACTCCAGCTGTATTTGATAGTCCTAGAAGTACCCCCTGCAAGTCAGTCAAACCCATTTAAGAGGAAATGAAGTAATACTGAATTATCACATTTTTAATAATACAAGCAATGAAGTATTCTGTAGAGTAATAAAACTACTACTCTATATTATTGATAAATAACTCATCATTTAAAATTTCACAGGTCTTGAAGACTATTACAATGCTTAATCAGTAAAATAATGGGATACCATCTAACATTATTAAATATAGAAATTACTGTTAATAAATTTCTAAAACTAAGACTATTGTTACTATACTGCAACACATAAGTAATATTAAGGTAATGACATAAGCAAGAAAGATCAGGTCCAGCCCTCCCCGGTCCAGCCGCCGTCCGAACTCCGCCGTTTGGGGCGGTTCCCGGTGGAATTTTTTGATGAAATTTTTTGAGCATGTTCTTCATCAAGTCTAGTTTGTCCATACCAAATTTCAGCTCAAAATTCGATCGGGAAGGTCGTCAAATGATTTTTGCAAGTTAACTGGTCCGGAATATGTATTTTCCGGACCAGTTAACTTGCAAAAATCATTTGACGACCTTCCCGATCGAATTTTGAGCTGAAATTTGGTATGGACAAACTAGACTTGATGAAGAACATGCTCAAAAAATTTCATCAAAAAATTCCACCGGGAACCGCCCCAAACGGCGGACCTGATCACTTCTCATGACATAAGTAATAACTAATATATGGTCGGACACACACTGAATGTGTAAGAATGAGAGTCAGGAGAAAGATGTGATACTCACTGAGTACCGAGGACCAATATCCTGATGGTTTGAATATAAGCCGGACTGTGAGAAAGCATCACTTCCCTATTTTGGAAAGGAAACTAATGAGAAATCAACCGTCAAGTAAAATTCACCCGCAAAAACAACACATTAAATTTGGTACACTACATTATCCTACATTAGTCTGTGAATGAGATACTATCATTTTTATTTTAACTCTTTAGAAGGAAATGAAAACAAATAGTTAATTGATACATTATTAAAATAACCAAAATAAAATAAGAGAAGAAAATGTGAAAGGGAAATATAAGGATAGATTGAGAAGAAAATTTTCAATTTTTGGTCCCACGATTATTAGGTCATTTTAACTTTTGGTTTGGTGCTTCCATTTTTCCAGCATTGGGTGTATGCTTACAGATTTCTTGCTATGTTTAATCCTATCTATCACTTCTGGCTGATTTCCGTACAATTTGTGGTTATGTTTGACCGGATAAGTAATCAGAAATCAAAGGCAACAACAAATTCATAACCATACACCAAAAATGGAAAAATATGAAATTTGAGAGTGAAAATGACCTAGTAGTCGTGGCACCAAAACTGGAATATTTTCAGTTGCAAATATGGTACTTGTTGAATGTCACAAACTCTGAACATTTCCCTTCACTATGAAAACCCCCCACCTACAATAATGAAAATTCCAAAACTATAGTAGCAAAGACAGAGTGGATATCTGTCATCATTTTGTATCTCATCAATACCAGATAGGCACAAACCTGACTGCATGACATGCACAGAATTGCCATTGCAGGAGTTTCAGCATGACTCAGCTGAGTTAGAAAGAAAGCAGGGCCAAGAAACCCAATACTCTGCATTGTCTGTATAATAAATGATTAAAGAATAAAATGTCAAAAGCTCAGGGACCAAAAACCTATTACGTGAATTCCTATGATAGATTATACCTCATAGTATACAAAATAGTTTTGACAGGACTCTCAGTAATTAAAATTATTCACATATGACATGTTGAGACAGATATCAGCAAATCCAAGGTAATAAGAAAGAGAGAGAATTTATAAGATAAATACAACGATTTCCTTTCCCTGAGGTCCACTTACCATTAAGAGGTCAAACAAATTACTCCCTCCGTCCCATTATTTTCTTCTTACTTTCCTTCTTGAGATGTCCCATCACCCAAAATAATCTTCTCGTTTCCTTGTAAAGGAATGCTTATGACGGTTAACATTCTTCTCCTTTCTTCTACGTCAACCGCAAAAATACAGTTTTACTTTCTTAATAAGCATTCCAAATCAATGTGAGAAAATAATTTTGGGATTGAGGTAGTACTTCAAAGTTCAAATATGAACTAACAAAAAATCTGGAAAACTAAGAAAGTAAGAAGAACTTTAATCCTCTCAACACTACAAACAACAACAACATTACCCCAGTGCCGCAAAGGCACCACCTATGATGGGATAAGGGGGGATCGGATGTACGCAGCCTTACCCCTATACTAAAGCACAGAGAAATTGTTTCTTGATGACCCACGATGAAAATTGCGTTAGAAATTGTATGGACCGACTGCTACTTCATAACAAAGAAACGCAGACAGTTTAGTGAGTCATTTTGCTTTATTCCATGATATTCCCAAGCCGAAAAATAGTGAACCTTTGGCTCAATTGGAAATGATGAAAAAGATCCTCTCAACAATATGTTTGCTAATGAATAGTTGGAGTCTAGTCGTCTATAAGCTATTAATCCCATTCAAAATCCTGGGAAAGAATTGATCCAAACCCCCAACCAACCTCTAAACCTTGCACAAAAAATGAATGATATACCTTCCTCACTACAGTCACTGATACACCTTTCCTCACCAATGAATCTGCAATCCATCCTCCGACATTTGCAGAGACTGCCATGGTAAGCCATGGCAAAATGGCACAAGTTCCTGATTCAGTAAGGTTAAATTTCAAGACCTGCAGTTAAATAAACAACAAAAAAGACTACATCATCACAATAACTGAAACAGTGGCAAATATTAATCTCACTTGTGGCATGTGAGCAATAAGACTTAATAATCGTTGCTAAATCTTACTCTACCATTAAAATTTGATAGCAGTTCAGTTTCATACCCAATAACCACAAAGGAAACTGCTTTTGCTGCACTAGGAAACACCTAAATCGTGACTTCACTTAAATTGAAACAATATTTTATGAAAAGGAACAAGTCTATATGCAAGATACACACAATATAAAAACCACCGGAAAAGAAGACAACAAATGCGATTTGTATGTCTTGAGACTTGGTCTACAAGTATAATCAATCAAAGAATACACATAACTACCTGGTGATAATATGTAGGCATCCATGTAAGAATAATAAAAGTTCCCCAATTGTGGCAGAAGTGAGACACTATCAAGGCCCAAACAGGTGGTTTTGACAAAATTAGTTTCCATGGAATAGATTTTACAGGTTCTTTGGAAATGCTGTTGCTTAGAATGAGCTTCCTTTCTGAAGGCAGCAAACCAGGATCTTCGAGAGGGGAATTGTGTGACTGAAAAAAAGAAATAAATCAAATAAATAGAAGAATGAGACGAGTACAGATTCTTACACATAAATGCAGTATTGCTGTATTGACCGTTGACAAGAAAATCTGAGAAATGCCACATTAGAAGGCAGTACTTCGCACAATGGCCAAAATAACCCAAGGACAAAGTAAAATATCTACCATCTTATGCCACAGAGCAAACCAAACAGTGCCTAAAGAACCAAAGGAAAAGAAGACAGAAGGCCAGCCAAACTTATGGATTAACATTGGTGAAAATGCCAGGCCAGTTACAGATCCAAGATACATTCCACTGTACACTAGGGCCAATGATCTGCTTCTTTCTGAGACTGGAACCCACTTTGAAAGCAGATTACTCATCGCTGGCATGGCAACACCCTGAAATAGCAAATATAGGAAATACAATTAGCTCAGCAGAAAACAACAAATCATATCAACTGTGACTTGTTAAATTAGAAGCAACTAACGGAAACTTTTGGTGTAATGCAAGAGATTAAAAGAAAGGAGATTACTTTTCAATAGCAAAAGCACAATGTGTGATTGATTGTATTGCTACAATATTTTCAGTCTTTTTCAATGAATTAAACTGAAAATAACAGAAAAGAACAAACCTCACCAATCCCCATGAAAGCTCGGACAACAAGTAAGAAAGGTAACCCAAGATTTGCTGCGATTGGCGTGAGAACTGTAGCTATAGACCACCATACTACACCAAATCCTAAGACAAACTTGCCACCAACAGTGTCAGCCCATATACCCCCTGCAATCTAAATTCATTATAAAAGTATTTGTAAGGAAAAGTAATTCACAATATCAGTACAACAAGAATAAACAAAACATGTCCTATAATAAACTGGTAAAAAAGAAGTAAATCAGAATCTCTTGGGTCCCCAAATGCATAAAGTGAACACTGTGAAGGAAAACGAATAGCACCATTTATGGCCTTAAATGCAGTTATCATATATAATGAAATGATGATTTTATTACCTGCGTTAAGAGATAGCCCCAAAAAAAGGAAGATTGAATCAAACCAACAGTTGTAGGACTCCAATGAAATTCTGCTGCCATTGGGAGTATGGCTATGCTCATGTTTACCTGTGAAACATAATCTACTTGAATTTACTAACATAAATCTCCTAGTTTTTTTGCATCTATACTGAACATAAACAACAGCATGGGGTCCTTTGTCTACTCATAGTGAGGGGAAACGCAGCCCTGTCTTCTTAACAGAGTTATCTTGTATCAGAGTCTGCTGCATAAAAAAAGCACTTCATTTTTGTTGATTCTTTTTCTTTTTGTTTTGTCACATCATATTTTGCTGTTGTTGTGGTTTCTTTTTCTTGAATCGTATTCACATGAATCCATAATGAAAATATATCAGAGTAAAGAGCAACATTTAATTTACAATAAACTATGTAGCACGAAAACTCTCTGGGAAAGAGTACGTTTCCAGTTTCGGAAACTTTCCGAAACTCTCCAAAATCCAAACTCTCCATATATATTTGTTAGGAGGAGCTGAGGAGGAAGGAAACGGTACTTACTCTATCCATATTGCAGAGTAGAAAGGCTGAGAAACACAGCAGCACAATAACCCAACGCTTGGGGAATCCCAATGTGCTGTCTCCATCACCGTCCGTCCAAATGCCTTCGCCTAAAGCACCCTTACTGTTGACGGATTCCTGCTCCGAGTCCGCAATGTCAAACTCTTTCGACTTGACATCCGCCCATACCGTCCAGCCCGTCCTCCTGATCAATCGTCGTCTAATGCACCGCTCCATTGAAAACGGAGCCCCGAACTCGAACTGAACACTTGTGGCAGCAGTAACATCGTAATTGTGAGAGCGATAGCTTAACCTTCTCTTGGTAGATGTTGACTCGGTTGAGCAGTGCCGCTCCGGAGGAGAGTGATAGTAGGAGAGAAGAAAAGCTCCTGCCGTCATTGCTCGACTGCCAGCGAGACTTTTCTGCTGATTGATCCTTACTTAGTTATTGATTCTTCTCTTTCGCGCTCTCTGATTTTGGAATAACCTACTGGATTCAGTTTCGAGCATGTCAAATTCACAGCAGCGGGTACTGCCCAGGTGACAATGGATTCAATTGCTTAACTTCATGTCTTCATCCATCATTTGCCTTCCCACACCAGCCAGCATCACCTACGCCGTTGCAACAAGTAATCATCTACTTCGTATATCAGTTTTAACTTTTTGATACAATTAATCTCCATTTGTTTAAAAGCAACTTCTCAACTTTTGACTTTAAAAAGTACTTATTTTCCTAAACACTAAAACTTTTATTTTTCTCGCGTCAAAAGTGTTTTTACTTTTTCTATCACACAAAAAGCACTTATTTTACCAAACACTACCCACTTTTACTTTTCAAAATCACTTTTTTCTCAAACACTATCAACTTTTATTTAATCATTTCTCCTCATTTCATTAAAAAAAACATTTTTTTAAAAACAAAAGCTGTTGCAAAGTTTTATTAAAAACACTATCAACTTTTATTTAATCATTTCTTCTCATTTCAAACTTTTACTGCGGTTACTGCCGTCGGATTTATGTTTATTGCTCCTTGTTGAGTCAAAGTTTATCGTTTATTTGAGGATTAATCAACTTTGTGTCATTGATTTTGAACTCTGATTTAGAGGAATGATGGTTTGAAAAAAAAAATAGAAAATTCTAATCTCAAATTATTTTAAATGGTAAAGAATTTAAGAAAAAAATGGTAAAAATTTTGATCTTCACCTCATTTTTTGAATGATATTAGACTTTGTACCATATTTTCAAAGTCAATTATGTTTTTGTACAAAAAGGAAACTTATGTGTCCTCTTAGCACTCATACAAATAAAGCACGAATTGGAGAGCCTCTCACATTTAAATTCTACATAAAACCCGTTATCGCTCTGTTATGTGATTTGTATCCCTCCTATTCAATGCATTCTTAATGTTGATGGAAACTCTAATTCGAATGTGTCTATAATAGCTCCCCTCAGTGTCCTTTCATCAATCTACTTGCTCCGCTTATTGTCCTTTCCTCAATTTGCACCAGCTTTCCTAGATAGCTACTGATATCCATCATAGTTTTCTCTGTCATAAAACTTAGAGGTAGTTTATAGTTCTAAACCCAGAACTTGGCGTGGTTCAACTCAACCTTTAGAGGTCTGCCAGGGCTTTAACGCGCGTGATTGCCACAGATTTTGTTCAAAAGACCACGCGTCATCTGGAATCATTCGAGAAATGTCACTCTCATGGTAAAGTTGAATCACAAAGCGTATATCACTAATTTATTATATGTTTACTCCCTTTCCAGGTCGCCATATTATTGTCATTGTCTCACACAAAGTAATAGGACAGACATATTTATTCGTAATTACCCTTATCAAGGAGTTCAAAAATAATAAAGAGAAAGAGCTGGAGGACTAAACTGCAAATACTTATTTCTTATTATTATTCCTTTACATCAGTTCATATAAGTACTGTAATAGTTAGACCTAAATTACAAGATCGTATTCATTCTTCTCCTACAATCAAACTCTAGCTTCTCTTTCTCTCTGAATCAATGATAAGTGTCTTTGATCTTGAATTCCTGTAAAAGTTTACATGGTATCAGTTTAGCTTCAGATTCGATCGTCTCTTCCGCTCGTCTGAATTATTTTTCCGATTTCTATCGCTAAATTCACAAAGATGCCTAGCGCAAATAGCGTTTCGGATAATCCCACCGAAGATCCTTCATCACCGTATTATCTGCATCCAGCTGATCACTCAGGCGTTAGGATCATCTACGAATTGTTTAACGGTGACAACTACAATGCATGGCAGAAATCCGTTGTTATGGCTTTCACGGTCAAGAACAAGATGAAGTTTCTTGATGGATCAATATCTCAGCCTTCATCTGATGATTCTCTCTACTTGGCTTGGTATCGGGTAAATGCGCTCCTATTGTCTTGGCTTGTTTACTCTATTGCACCTGAAATTCGTACTACTTTCCTATACTTTACTGTGGCTAAAGATGTTTGGGACGAAGTTAAGCTTCGTTATGGAAAAAGTGATGGTCCTCATGTTTTTCAACTTGAAAAATCTTTGACTAATCTGGCTCAAGGCTCTCAATCTCTTACGGCCTTCTATAATTTTTTCAAAACTCTCTGGGATGAATACTGTAATTACAGGACTATTCCAGTCTGTAAATGCGGTAATTGTACCTGTAATCTCAATGAACTCTTTCAAGAACTTTTGCAGAAAGACTCAGTCTATAAGTTTCTTATTGGTCTCAATGAATCTTACAATGTCTTGAGAAGTCAAATCTTGTTGCGTACCCCTATTCCAAAACTGTCTGCTGTCTACTCTCTTCTTCTTCAAGAAGAATCTCAACGCTCTTTGCACAATCATACTGAGTCTGTAGCAATGTTCTCTCAACATATTCCTAATACTCAACCTCCATCCATTGCTACATCATCCACTATTGAATCTACTGCTTTCATTGCCAAATCTACCAATCCAAAGAAAAAGTATACTGGCACTTGTTCTCATTGTGGTTTTCAAGGCCACTCTTCTGAACGTTGTTACCAACTTATTGGTTATCCTGCTAACTGGAAAGGTCCTAAGGGTCAGAGATTTGCACCTGGCTTCAAACCTTCTTTTACCAATGCTAACAAAACATCTCAAGCACACTTGGCTTCTACTTCAACTGATAGTCATGACTTAGACCTCTGCAATCCAGAACTTTACAATCAATTTCTTCAATTCATGAAGAATCAATCATCTCTTCCTACTTCTGCTCATGCTGCCATGGCTATGTCTCACTGTCCTGTTCCTGAACAGTCCTCATCTCCTGATAACAATGCTTTTAAAGGTATATATTCTATATCTAATTGGATCATTGATACTGGTGCTTCTGATCATATGATTCATGATCTAAATATATATACTTCTCAACCTAAATGTATTTCTATTAACATTCAACTACCTACTGGTAATACTACTGTTGCTACTCACATAGGAGATGTTCAACTAAATAATGATTTAACTCTACATAATGTTTTATATGTTCCCAATTTCAATTACAATCTTATTTCTGTGTCTAGTCTTACTTTAAATGAACATTTATCTGTTAATTTCTCTTCTAATTATGGTGTGTTACAGGAGCAAAGTACACAGAAAATCATTGGCTATGCTGAAATCAAAAATGGACTCTATCAATTGCATCTTCTCAATCATACTGCTTCTGCATACTCTGCCACTACTGTTTCTCATAATAATCCTGTAATATGGCATTTTAGACTTGGTCACACTCCTTTTAATAAACTCAGTTCTTTTCCTATTTCTTTTGACAATAAATCTTGTAATAACATCATTCCTTGTGACATTTGTCACTTTTCCAAGCAAAAGAAACTTTCCTTTATTGATAGTACTTCTCATGCTGTTGCTGCTTTTGACTTAGTTCATATGGATATCTGGGGTCCTTTTAGTACTGCTTCTTATTCTGGTTTTAAGTATTTCTTAACCATTGTTGATGATCACAGTAGATGCACATGGATTTTTATGATGAAAACTAAGGCTGAAACTCGTTTTCATATGATGAACTTTTATAAACTCATTCAAACTCAATTTGATAAGAAAATTAAAACTATAAGAACTGATAATGGTGCTGAATTTATGTTTTCCAGTTTTTATCAATCTAATGGAATTATTCATCAACTTTCTTGTGTTGAAACTCCTCAACAAAATGGTAGAGTAGAAAGGAAGCATCAACATATACTCCAAATTGCTAGATCTCTTCTTTTTCAGTCTTGTTTACCTATTAATTTTTGGTCTGATTGTGTCTTAGCTGCCGTTCATATTATAAATAGGACTCCTACTGCTATCTTAGATAATAAAAGCCCATTTGAACTTTTGTATAATACCATACCTGATTATTCCCACCTCAAAGTGTTTGGTTGTTTAGCTTATGCTTCTACCTTAACTGCAAATAGAAATAAATTTGATCCTAGAGCTTCAAAATGTGTTTTCATTGGTTATCCTTTTGGCTATAAAGGTTACAAATTGTATGACTTAAACACACATAAAATCTTTGTTTCCAGACATGTTCAATTTTATGAGACTATTTTTCCTTACAAAGATATTTTAAAAACTCCCTGTAATTCTGTAAACAATGGTCAACTTACTTTTTCAAATGATTCTTATAAGAATTTCTTTTATGATGACACTTACAATTCTTCTACTGATAATAATACCTTTTCTGAGAATCATACTTTATCTTCTGAGAGTCATACTTCATCTACTGACCAGTCTAATGATACATCAACTCAGGTAAATTCTGATTCTTATTCTTTTTTAGATAATCAAATAAGTGATGAATTGAACATTCTTAATCATAATATTATCACTACTCATAATGATAGTTCAGAATCTACTAATGATTCTTCTTCTTTTCAGGAAAACATAAATATTGTTGAGCCTGAAACCACTCCTCAAAGGAAATCTTCTAGAGTAAGAAGTATTCCTACTTACTTGCAAAATTATGATTATAATATTCCTGATTCTTTAAAACCTACTCATCAATCATCTTGCAATCTCATTAGATATCCTATATCTAATCATATAAGTGATAAGAGACTTGATCAATCATATAAATGTTTTACTGCCAGTATTTCTCTTATTAAAGAACCTAAAACTTATAAACAGGCTATTAAGCATCCTGAATGGCAGACTGCCATGAACATTGAACTTCAAGCTCTTGAACAAAATAATACCTGGATTCTGGTTGATCTACCACCTCAACAACATACTGTTGGTTGTAAATGGGTTTATAAAACTAAACTCAAATCTGATGAAACTTTAGAAAGATATAAAGCTAGATTAGTTGCTAAAGGCTATACTCAAGAAGAAGGATTAGATTACTTTGATACTTTTTCACCTGTTGTAAAATTGACCACTGTTAGACTTCTTCTTGCTATTGCTACTACAAAACATTGGTTTTTACAACAACTTGATATTAATAATGCTTTTTTGCATGGAGATCTTTTAGAAACCATATATATGCAGCCTCCACCAGGATACTTGCCTCCAGGAGATACCAGAGTGTGCAAATTACAGAAAAGTCTGTATGGTCTTAAACAGGCTTCAAGACAATGGTATTACAAACTGTCTGAATGTC